TAATCTGAACAGATTGACAATGAGCAAAATCTGTAGGTATAGTAAAATGCCTGTTAGCAATAATCTCTAATAATTCAGATTTGTATGTAATTCTCAACTAATTAATTCAGGGTGGTAGCCTTCATTTTCATTGCATAGCAATTTTGGGAAAGGGAAGATGGAGTGTTCTGGTTCAGAACTGTATCTCATCATGGTATGTAAATGGTTCAGCTGCTGGCGATTTAATCATTGAGAACTGTGACCTATGGGTATTTGTTAGTTGTACACTAAGAACAAACCTCCATTATAGATCATTTACCTTTGGAGATCTAGAAGCATTTCAAAATGTGTCTGTGTATTTTCTGTTATGGATGGTTTTAAAAGGAATGTAACATTCTCATTACAAAAGGATATTGTGCCATCAAGGCTGGGCATAGCTGACTATTTGGCATAAAAACACAGTGCATCAAAACAAAATCATTTAAAACAGAATCTGTGAAGAAAACAAAGGAAAAAGTTAAGCATTTGCAAACAGCTCAGGATTCACAACCATTATGCTTGTTTCAGTTAAAAATCTCATTAATTCCCTGAAGACACAGAAGGGGTCAGTTTGAAAACATTCTGTACTATTTTGTGCATAGTATTAAACTTGAAAATGTATTCAGGATAGAATTTAAAGTTTTTAGCCTTCTTTAAATGGATTCAACATCAGTCAGGATTCTAGACATAATAAGAACCTTGCTTTAGTAGATGTGCTCAGCCTGCATCAAATGAATACTGGCTCTTAAATAACACACTAAGGTCCTGATTCAGCAAAGGGAGCATGTACTTCACTTTCAGTATTTGCAAGTATCTCTAATATTTGGTTTTGTACTAGATACTTCAAAAGAAGGAAGTTTGGCACAACAATAAACACCAATGTGACACTTGAATTATTTGGGAAGGCTCCTCATTTATATAGACAGATACCAAAGTATAATGTGAATCATGCCTTTTATACCTAGGGACCTAAAAATGTCTGTCAGTGTTGTATAACGGTGTTATTATACCAAATAGCATACCTGTTGGCTCCAGCATGCAGTAAAACCTAAAATGGTTGGACTGCTAGTCAAAAATCTATTATCTATTTAAATTAAAATTGATTCCCAGTTATTGATTCACAGTTACATTTAAATTCAATATAGAAAATTTAGCTTAGAAATTAGGTTAGTCATACAACTGAAGCATTTTTAGACTGGGAAGAACTAAAAGTCTAGCTAAAGCATTCACAACAACTTGGCAACAGGTCCACTATCTTTTGCCTCCAAATGAGCTGATAGTGGGATGGCACAGGTAAAAGTAAGGGCATTAGTTACCCTTTGTACTTGTAAGGATGTGTGAGGAGGATTTAACTGGCCTGGCTGTCAAGCCCAGCATAAGTTTGCAGGGTTGGCAGTTTGAAAAAAAACATCATTTTACTTGTAAACTAAGCAATGCTTATAATGAATAAGTGAGAGACAATGAACAGAATACCCCTGGAGACCACTTCTGTAAAGCCTCTTTTCAAAGTGGAACAACATTTAAAAATCTTGTAATGGAGGGATGTCAAGGAAAATGTGGTGTGGCAACTGTGCCTATCCATATTGTCTCATTGCTTTCACTATAATCCAGCATTTGAAAATGTCTCTCAGCTGAAGCTATGCCATGCCCCCAGGGCCTCAGCCAGGGAATATCTCGTCTTTGCATAGTATGCAAAACAAACTGGTTTAGCTGTTTTCAATTTAAGGGAATGCATAAACTAAAAATCAGCAGTTTCAGATGTCTGTCCTCACACCAGTAAGAATGGCTTTGGTGTGACATTTTGCAGGCCAGCAAGATAAAATGTGGAATCTTGCAATCAGGCACTTTGAAGGAAAATATTTTGAAATAATTTTAAAGTTTAAGACAATTCAAAGACATAAATAATATATGTATGACAATTTATCATTAATTATTTACAGACTTAACAGCTTTGTGTTCAGCATCTAACCTTAGATGACTTGGTAACTATTATAGTAAGATTTATTTTTATTCACAAATGTGGCTAAAACACCCAGGCAAAAAGTATTTATCAACTCTTTCATCACATGGGCTTGCACTGATTGCACCAATATTATCACTCCAATGACTCAGAAACTACAAACTATTAAAAAATATATATTTAACATGCTTTTCAGCCATCTGTAACATCAAAAACATGCATACTAAAACAATAGCCTACTTTATATTGCAATAATTTAAAATAAAAGTTCCTGTATTGGTAAATACTATTATTTTCTCCTGACTCTCTGCTTTTATTAAAATACTTATTAATAACTAGTTAGAAGAGACCATATTCCTGTACCTAATTTCTTTATAAGTGCAAGCAGGGCTGAAGCACTTTCTGCATCAGAGGACTTGACCCTCTGATGCACTGAATCCTTTGACTGAATGCTGAATCCTTTGAATACACTGGAGAAGTATCAGTGGGTCCATCTACACATGCACTTTACTGCAGCGTTGACTAATTAGCTCTGCAGTAAAGTGTTATAGTCTACACGTGTGCCGGCATCAGGGTGCAGTAAACTAAGTATCTCCAACATAGGATAGTACTATTGGGGACAGTACTGCCTTACAGCGGAGTACCTTATTGTGCTGAAACACACATGTAGACAGTGATTGGGAGTGTAAATCATGCCAGGTCAGCCCAGTCAGGTGGGGGCTTGCTCTGCCCGGCTCAAATTGCTGCTGTCCCGGGTGTGCGTGTAGATGCTGCACCCAAGAGCAGATGTCTCCGGCACGAACTGCTCTAAAGTTTATGTTGTTGCATTATTGTCATGTGCAGATGCACCCACAATTAAGTTACTTATGTTTATTGTGCTTCTTATGTTAAAATTTTGGAGGCTTGTTTCCAGGTAGCAAAGTAATGCAGGAGTGATGCAGATCTTTAGATAAATGATCTAAGCTCCACACAAGTTACATCATCTTTAATTTCTTCAGCTTGTGTTTGAGCATTGATTAACTCTATTTCTGGAAACTTCTAAAGGCTGTTTTCCAAAGCATTACACTGTAATTTATATCTTGGGAACCTATCCAATTTATTAATAAAAATACAGCTTTTGTCAAATAATTCTACCTGTTGCTTCATTTACAGTTGATTCAAGTCGCATAGTTTCTAGAAAGTGCTCTAGAATTTTCTCTGGAGTTCCTGACATCACAATATACCTGGGGAAGGGAAAAGAAGTGATTAGTTTTCCAAAGGGAAAATAAAAATATCAACTGGCAGTTGGTATCAAAGGGAAGATCTAAGATTTCTGAGCATGGAAATGGGAGTCAAATACAACACTAGAGTTCAAATACCTGCTCTGACACGGACTCTCAATGTGGCCCAGGGGAAAATCATTCAACCTCTTTGCTTCAGGTTTCCCATCTGCAAAACGTGAACAATAATACTTACCTTCCCACCATGACTGCTGTAAGGACTATGATGATGAAGGACCCCATTCTCCATTAATGAAACTGCACTGGTGTAAACCTGGGTGAATCAGACCCTCCCATAAAGCACTATTAGCACTGTTCATAAGAACAGAAGCCTCAGCAACAATAAAAATAGTTAGAATGTAGGATTTAGGTAAGTTTAAATAGAATGACTGTGAGGGTGAGAAGCGAATTAGTATTTAGTATTATCAATCTTATCAAAATGAGAGTAAAGAAATTAAAGAATGCCTAGAAGGTTGCAGGTCTAAACTGGCCAGAGGACATTAGAAAAGATAGTAATGTGCAGTGGTGGAACTTGGCAATAGTGTTAGATAAGTGCAGTAAATTAGTATATGCAACTATATAGCCTCAGTATTTGTACCACTCCTAGAATTAAATGTAGGGTTGGGGGTCCTAGTATTAAATGTAGGGTTGGGGGACACAACATATTTACAATAGACTAATTTACTTTGATTTTATACAGTAATGTAAATCACACCAGGAACCAGATCAGACAGATAACCAAATTATCCAGGAGTAGGAGGTTGTAGCTATTACGGTCCCGCATCATTAGGTGGCAGGAAAAAAGGTGAAAGTTTGACCAAAGGGCTACCTAGGCACATGACACATGTAACTTACATCTATGTATAAGCACTATAGTTGCTTATGGGGTACCTTTATTTTGGAGTAGAGTGATATCATGTCTGCTCCACATTTACCCCTGTGTAAAGACATAGTGTAAATGGTATAAATATGCTGGGTGTCCACATTTCTAAAGAGGTGCAAGGGAACATTGCAACTAGTATGGTTACCATATCTATTGCATGGAACGCTGGCAAATTTTTAGGATATTATAGGATATTGCAGAAAAGGGCCCCTCTGATACCTGCCCTCTCTCCTCCTCTCCTTGCGAATGGGAATTCTTTTTATCTTTCATTTTATTCTTTCAATCATTGCATCATTTTTCTGCATTAAAGTTATAAAGTACAAAACTTAAAAAAAAAATCCCAGAGAAGTGAAGGGATCTGCTCCTGCTGAGAAATAAGTGGTGGAGCTGAGCTCCTGGGAGCTCCTCCTTACTTTGAGCACTGACCGTCACAGCTCTTTTACCTGCCAGCCCCTTTGGAAGAACTGTATTGATGTCCCAAGAACACTAACACTTGTTAAGCCAGTGCACATCCTGGCAGAGATACTAACCAAGTACCTGAGTGAGTGAAGCAGAAAAAACTCAGTTTGCTGTACTTTGAATATGAAAGTGAACACGAACCAGTGAAGCGGCTTGAAGTGACTGCAGAATGTAGCAACACTCTGTGAGGTGTCAGAAATATTGCAGGTGTGTGATCACCCATGAAAACAGAAGTTAGAGCTTGGGAGACAGAACTTCAGAGTTAGCCTTTTGGTGCAAACCTGTCATTCTTTGAAGCTGTGGCTCAGTGCACTGCAGCAGGAGAGGGAGTAAAAGGATGGGAAGGATCCAAACTACAGTTTGGGGCAAGTGGAGCCTTTCCTGAGATTCAGAGAAAGGAACGTAGGATGCTTTTAAATGATTGGGTGGTTTCAGGAGTTACAATGGGATGGATAAAGGGCATTTCACCTCTGTTTCACCAGTTCAAGCTCTGCATAATTTACCAGGAATTAAAAATCAAGTCTGAACCTAGTTTAATGTCCTACAGGATGGGCACATCTACACGTCGCCCTACAGTGATGTTGTTACTGGGCCGTACTAAAGCACAGCTCAGTAACTGCTCATACTGTACCGTGCATGTGGCACACAGTTAGTTTTAGCCACAACTTCACCATGGTGGTGACTAAAATGGGGGTGCGTGCCACTACAGTTAAGTAGCTGCTAGTCACATGTAGACTCACGTGATCCCTACGTTGCCATAGCACATTGTACAGCGACATAGCATGTTGCTACAGTGATGTAGGGTGATGTGTAGACATGCTCTAAGTCACTTACATTTGCCATTTATTTCCTTAGGAGAAATTTCCCACATTAAAATTGGAGTTTTTGTTCATAACTGTGACAGAAAACCCTTTTTGGGTGTCTGTCACTTCAAGGGCTGGAGCAGGGAGCTGTCAGGTGGCTGATGAAGGTGGCCATTTTAAGGCTCAGGTCAGGGAGACTAGAGAGAAGTTTGAGATCAGCCAGCGGGGAAGAAACATCTCCCTGCACAGCTCCAGGAACAACTCAGAGGTAAGAGTGAGGCTATGGGGATGGAGGAGGCCTCATTGGTTCTGGGCATGACCTAAAACTGCACCCTGTCAGGCAAGGGAGGCCTGGTGGTACTACCAGTGGCGTGGCAGCCCCACTTAAATACCAGGACCAATCACCTCCCTAGTGTAAGGTAGATCAGAGCTCCTAAACCCCTGCCCTCACCTTTGGGTGGGTTACTAGGAGGGTTAAAGGGGTCCTGGCATGCACAGTAGCTGCACTTGAGCCCTATGGGGTGTTGGGCCCTGGAGCAAGGGCCAGGCACACTGAACGAGCAGCACCTGAGTCCTAGGGGATTAGGACCCCAGCCCTGGGAGAGTGGAGTGAAGGTCAGGCATGCTTAAGGGAGAGCAGCACCTGAACCTGTTGGTGTGGAAGACCCCAGGCCCCTGAGAGAGGGGCACAGTTGTCCAGTGAAGGGCCAGGGGTGAAGTAGGCCCCTAGTTGAGCAATTTCTCAGTCCCATTCAGGTGAGGGCCACAGGATAGGCTCAAAAACCTGTGCCAGGGCTGACCAAGGGGTGGAGAGCAAAGCCCGAGGATCTCTTTGAGTAGGGTGAAGTGAATGTGGCCTGGATGGGCAGCATGCAAGAGACCGGGTGAGAGCCGGTGGAGTGCAAGAGGCCCCAATGAGGCGGGAAGTAGACTCAAAGCGGGCAGTATGATAAAGGTCCAAGTGTGTGCCCAGTTTGGCCCAGCCTTCAGCCAGAGTATCATCACTTATTGTGACATCTGTGAGGCATGGGACACGTATAGGGATAGTAGGAGCGTGTATATATTGCCCATGGACATTTGGGTACATGAAGGGCAGCCTCCCACCTATTTACCATCGCAATCATTTACCAACAAGGTGTGGCAGGAGAACCAGGCGGGAGGTTTGTCCAGAGACAGGGGCAGGCCCATACTAGTATTGGGCCTGGAAGCCACCCTTGTCACAATAACCTTAGCACAGAGGCCAAATTTCATTTGGAGAAGGAAGCCAGTCTCACAATCAGAGGTGAACACTCAAGATCAGAGCTGAGTTTGGCCAAATCAGAATAGTTTAACCAAACTTTCCAAAGGTGAGAGATTATAGGTATGCCCCTAGAGGCATCTAAACAAGCAGCCTATTTTCCAGAAGTATTGAGAACACAATAATTTCAGATGATTCAGAACTCTGGGAATCAGGTCATTTACTGAGACCTTATTTAAACATGGTTTTTTGAAGCCAAATGCTAGCCCCTCATCCAGTTCAGCCTCCCACAGCAGCATATAGAGATGTCCTATTTGCAAGCACTATTTGTTCACTTTAGAAGATTTAATGTAAATATAAAGAACATTATGAAACTGAAGAATAAACTGAGTCCTGAAAGGCATTTTAAGGCATATTGTTTTCAGGCCACTTAAGCTTCTCTTATATTTGATTTTTGCAATAATCTAAAGGCAGGAA